TTTATTATTATTATTATTATTGTTGTATTATAATAATATATATTATAAATATATAGAAATAATATTATTTATTGTTATAATATTATTATTATTTCCATTGTAATTACTTCTGAAATATAGAAAATAATTGAATAATTCCGATTGGAATTTATTCCGAATAATTCCATAGTACGTACTTAAGTTTCCGGGACGGGTAATAGAAGGAATGCGTATCATTTGTGTGTGGGTAGGGTACGTGTAGGTGTGTATGTGATCAGCTGCCACATCCCCAATTCCTATTGCGGCCTCCGAATCGCGTAGGATGTTAGTGCTGAAAACACAATAGTAAATGAGCAAAAATTACCGTCGACACTTCCGTTGACAGAAAGCATCGGCCGGACGCCTGGGACACCCTGTATACGAGGCGCGCTTCGCTCCGCCCCGGAGGAAACGATATATCGGCGAGACACATGGTCGGTATGTCGATACGTTCTGCAGCACCGAGGATTTGCTCTCGGCTGCCGAGATCTGCAGACCGAGAACCGCCGAGACGAACCGACGTGGTTCCGTCAGGACCGGAAAGTAGGCGACCCTGAGAGGCAGCGGCGAGGGAGACGCTCCCGTCCGAGTGTTTAGTGCAGCGAGTTCGCGAGGAAGGAAGAGACAATTAGCGGTAATAATAATAGCTAGCGAACGACAAGAGACGTGACTAAGTAGGAATGATCGATTCTAAGGTGTTGCCGCTGCGAGACGGAAGAGAGGATTCTCGGGATGAAAATACGATGTGCGACAAAGACGTCTCCGCGACGAGAATAGAAAGGATTAAAATGGACCGTTCCGAGAAATAAACGGGGAGTAGGATATACGTAGGGAATATTGTTTGAAATGGATTCTATTGGAAGTATTTAATTGTTTGTTTCTAAGTTTCTATTATGTTTTTTTTTTCAAGGAAAATTGAATAATTCTATAATTCATGCTCAAAGGATCAATCATGTAATTTTTCCCTTAACGCGGAAACGTGGAAAGTAAAAATTTTTATGTATGTTTATAAACACATAACATATAGAATAAAAATTTTATTTTCACGTTTCCACCCTACTAGAGAAAAAATGGATACTTAGGGCTCGATACTTTCAATGTTCGT